CTTAAGCAGTTCTTACCCTCTAGATCAGTTGAAGTCCACCATGGGATCAGAAAGGTGTAACTCTTCTTAGGATTGCACTGTGAAGCAGTTAACTATGTGCTTGAGTTCCCTTGCTTGTTGGAAAGAGGTGTGCGGCTTGATTTTGTATATCTTGACTTATGTCAGCCCCAGTGAGCCCAACGGGGGTTACTTCCCAGCAAGTGTGCATTGGTCATATACAGCAATGGATAGTTTTTGCTGATGTGATCGCACCTAGGATCTTTGGGCTCCCGTTCCCTGAAATTCTCTTAATCATCCCCATCATCATCTTTCTTTGGGGGGTGCAGAATTGCCTGCCACAAAATGCACAGTGGTACCACAACTACCACTAGATATATATATATATTTAAACTTAGCTTGATAAATCAGGAAAGCAATGTGATTTTGTCTAAATGAAATTATTTGAGGTAGCTATATATTTCCTTATAAGATGTAGGTTCAGGCAATAGAGAAAAGATGGAGGACTAGGAGGAAGGAGACTGGAGAAAATTGCAATGTGTGTGGGGTAGGGAGGGTCTAAAGACCACCAGTGAGCGATCCCTAAGTTAAGGGATTGCCAGGATGTAACAGAGAATGAAACTTCAAGACTGAATTAAAATAAAATGTTCTGGAAAATCCCCATAAAAGTTCAAGTGACCACAACTTTTATTAAGAGATATTATTTGTAGATGCATTTACACCCAGTAATATAAAAGCTACATGCCACTAGATTGAGAAAGGAGATTTCTCTTCTAAGCTGTTCTGTACACATTCCTCTTGCAAGCCTAGCTTGTGACACCAATATTTTTGTAAGAACAGCAGCATGTTAACTTGAATAAACCCTTACTAAATATATAAATTTCAATTAATTTTACACATTTTGTAATTCTGAAAACGTTATAAGTGTCATTCAATAATTTAATGAAAATGAATACAATATGCTGTTTTTTATCTCCCTCCAAAAGGTGTTGCTTTCATCAGTACAGCATTTTTTCAGTGCTTGCTTTACTTTAGCTGTTATTACTGGATTGAAGAAGAGACCTTGATGTGGGAGTTAAATACATGACTGTCTAGCTCAGAGGCAAATAGAGCTGCACATTGAGCAATATGTATTTTAATACTACTTTGGACAACTCCTAATTCTGTACGAGTCTCTTTTGTTTTTTCCCTCTTCATCTTCCCATTACACCAGCTGTTATACTTTTATATGGTCCACATTATCTGCCTTTTATAGAATTCAAATGAGTTCTAAGGCACTAAATCCATTCTTAAGTGAGGCTCTTGGCGGTAGGGCACAAGGCAGGCTGACAAGTGTCAATACTGGATAGGGATGCCAGGTCCCTCCTGGCAACGGGTGGGGGATGGGAAGAGGACTTACCAGGAGCAGCAGGGGATCCCATCCAACTACAGCGATGTATATACATCACTGCCTACGTGACCCGGAAGTGACAGTACCACTTCTGGGGTACTGGGGGCAACACTCTGGTATCTGGGCAAAAACCCTATGACAAATTTAGCTTCTTACAATAGAGTTTTTGCCCAAATACCAGAGTGTCACCCCTGACATCCCAGTAGTGGTAGTGTCACTTCCAGGTCATGTGGGCAGTTACATAGACACATTGCTGCATGTGGGAGGATTTCCCCTCTTTTTCGGGGTAACTTCACCCCTGCTGGCCAGCTGATCAGCGGTGGGGAGGTGGGGCCTGGCACTAAGGGACCCCTGTTTCCACCGTGTTGTCTGGCAACCCTAGTACTGGATACAAAAAGCGTATGGGGCAATAATGGCCTGAAAGGGAAGGCAACACACTGTTAACAGAGAGACAGCTCCATTAGTTGCAATCCACTGATAACAGATTTGGGAACACTAATATGAAAAGTTTTTTTAAAAAGAGGCACACATTTAGAATTTGATAAATAATTTATTTGAGCAACAGGAGAAGTATTTTCCTCAAATTTACTAAATTTCCAGTGTAGCATTTCAGAAATACATTGATGCTTATTTGACATGCTCTTCATCTCCAAAACCTAATGCAGATTTTTTTTATAGCAACCCCTAAAGCAGGAATTTTTTTTCAGGAATCATTTTATGAAAAGAAAAAGAAATTGTGACCCATTCTACAGCTGGAAAACTGCAACAGTAATCCTTCTGAAATAATGTTTAAAACATAGAGATGTGTAGAACTAAACCATTTCAGCTCCAAAAAGTTTTGATAGTACTGCTGTTTGAATCTAGTCAACAAGAGCCAGATTCCAAATAATCTGGAATAGGTTCTGTAGCATGATAGTGGTGCAAAGGGCAATAATGTTTATAAACGTTTACTGTAGGACTACCAACACACTGAATTACACAGGATAACGTGATATACTTGGTACAATGACAGGGATGATTCCAGTTGGGGGGGGGGGCTGGTCAGAGAGTCCCCAGGTCCTCCCTCCCCTCCTCTGCCTATGGTCAGGCCCTCATAGCCCCCCACACACCTGCATGCCTCCCATCGACTTATGTATCCTTCCCTTTTCTTCTCACAAGCACTCCCACTGCCCATAATCACAGCTGCCTAAAAGCCTTTCCCTTGTGGCACCAGGCAGGGAGCATGGCTCATGGAACGCTAGCAAGTGAGTGGGCAGAGGGTGCTGGCAGCAATGGGCCCTGCCAAAAACCCAGGGCTCTGGCAAATGTCTTATCTCAGGGTATGCTGACACCAGCCCTGTAGAACTGAAAAAAATGGATTAAACAATAAAAATGTACCCATTCATTACAATCCTGTAACTGTTTATAATCCTGTTTATCCGTGATTAACAAAAGATGTAACTGTTTGCTTCAGTGCAGATGGTCACATTGGTAGTTATATTAAAATATAAATAACAAGCCAGACAACCCACGAAACTCACGGGGGGGTGGAGCGGGGCAGCGGAGCTCTGCATTTAGCCGGCGGAGGAGTCAGGAGAAGGTAACGTTTCCCCCCCATCCCGCCGGTTCCTCCGTATCGGGCCGCCCCACTCGATCTCCCCCCTGCCTCCTCACCCGGCTGGAAAGTGAGGCCCGCGTGGCTTGGAGCCACCGGACCTTGGCGCTTCCCCCCGCCCCCCGGCTGGAGAGCGAGGCCCACGCGGCTTGAAGCCGCTGGGCCTCGGCACTTCCCCCCGTCCCTGCAGAGCGTTCCCTGCGCATGCGCAGGGGACGCTCTGTCAGTTTCAGGGGGATTTAAGTATCCCCCCGATTTTTTTTTGAAGTTTTTGGATTTTTGTGCAAACGTGGGGACCTCCCCACGTGCGCACAAACATCTCCCTCCCCCCAGGTGCCCCTGGTGGTGTGCGGATTTAAGCATCCGCACACAGGGGGCACACTTGAGAATTAGATATATCGATTCTCAACATGGCCAAGTCTGTTCATAATTAAAGCAGGATACTAGAGTCATGGACAGACAAAACAGATCTTTCTACAAACAAGAAAATTAGGGTTGCCAGATCTGGATTGGGAAATACCTGGAGATTTGGGGGTGGAGTCTGAGGAAGGTGGGGTTTGGGGAGGGGGAGGGACTTCAATGGAGTATAATGCTATAGAGTCTACCTTCCAAAGCAGCCATTTTCTCCAGGTGAACTGATCTCTGTCACCTGGAGATCTCCAGCTACCACCTGGAGGTTGGCAACGCTATAAAAGCCCCAAATATGCAGGAAAATCAGAAATATTAAGAAATGGGGAAGTTTAAAAAAACCAAAATAATAGCGGCAGCACCTGTAGCCTAACCTACCTCACAGGGTCATTGTGATGATAAAATGAAGGAGAGGGAAATGCTGTAAGCTACTTTGGGTCCACATTTTGGAGAGGGGGGGTATGAAATAAATAAATAATATAGCTTAAGACGGGGGGCAGATAAGAGGTAGGTGAGTATGTGACTGAGAAGGAAGCAGAGAAAGGTCCCCAAGAGAAGATAAAGAGGAAAGTGTGTGTGTGTGGGGGGGGGTTACAGAGAAAAGTGAGGTGTTCCTTAGAAGCCCTTGCAGGTTCCCCACTGTGCAACTGGACCTGACTTGCCAGCCAGCATTGCACAACTGGGCCATAATTTTTTCTGGATAGAGGATGCTGAGGAAGGGAAGAAGGGAAAGGTGGGTAGATAATGGTAGGTTGGCTGGTGAGTGGGAAGGAGAGAAAAGCAGGAAAGGGGGAGAGGAGAGGCCAAAAATAAATTAAGAGATCCACAAAGTTACAAAAATGGCTAGAACTTAGGAGCAGTCCTTGTGCCACTCTTTATTAGAAATATCAGAGGTACTAGGTTTGTATCTAAAGTTGCCCTTGCATGAGCAGAAGACACATACACTCACACAAGTGGGAGCTGTGGTTTGTACTGATTTTTTTTACTCAATTTGTACCCTGTACTGTATCATGCACTGTTTCCAAGGTGGCATCCCACAACAAAATTTTCCTTTAGAAATAACTTCTGCATTTTCTACAGTGCAAAAGAGCAGGAATCCAGTAGCACCTTAAAGACGAACAAAATTTGTGGTGGGGTATGAACTTTTGTGAGTCACTGCTCACTTCTGCAGTGCATGACAGTCATGTATTCCTTGTACCTCAGATAAAGGCTCAGATGGTTTAAATCACTTTAATGGACCAGTAGACATTGCAAATGACCTCTGGGGCTGGGTTGACAAAGGTGCCTTGCTTTAATGAAAATTTAGTTTGAGTTTCGTAGCATCCCGAGTGAATCTCCTTACCTGCATTTTATTTTTCTTTATGTGCAAGCCTCTTTATTAAGCTTTAAATAAAGTAGTGTGGGGAAAACTAAGTGTAAACACATCTAGTAAATCTCTTCTGCTCTGAATTTTGGCAGGGAGGACTGAAAAGGCCCCTAGGACATATTGTTCTTAACTGCCCTGTTTTGATAGGCTTCCTCTACAGCATTCAATGTCTATTAGTGTAGGGTACTGGGTTATACTGTACATTGGCCTCACTCAGTAAATGTGTTCTTGTTTCTATATTACAGATTGCTGGGGCTTTGTGGTGGTACTTCATATCAAAAGGAATTGAGTATCTGGACACAGTATTTTTCATCCTAAGAAAGAAGTTTAACCAAATCAGTTTCCTTCATGTCTATCACCATTTCACTATGTTTACCTTGTGGTGGATTGGCATAAAGTGGGTTGCAGGAGGGCAGTGTGAGTAATCTCTATTCTCTACCTTCATAAAAAACATAAAGCGGAAGTTGTAGTGGAAATTCTGTTTTCTATTGATGTGTAAATATTGTTTCATACTGAAGTAACAGGATAGATGTTTGCTCAGTTTTGGAATGTGGCACTTAGAATGTATATCCTTCCTTCTCTGGGAAATGAGGGGGAGTGGGGGGGGGAAGACCAGGGATTATGAAACCCGTTTCACATGGGCATAAGTGGATGATTCAGATTTTGCATGCAAATTCTGCTTTTTGTGTTCTAAGGGTGCTTGCTATATGAAGCAACACACAGGCCTACCTTGCTTAATCTAAACCTCTTCAGCCACAAAGAGATAGGATTTCTAATTATATGTTAGATTGCACTCTGTTTATTTCCATGGTGATTAAGTGATACACAGATTGGTCCTGTTCATGGTTACTGTGAGTTAAATCCCACTGATTTAATGCTACTTACTTGTAGGCAATGCTCCTTCTAAGCTGTAGAGTCTTGTGAACAAAAATTCTACTTTGTGAGCTACTGGAATTAAAGTTGTGAGCGAGCAATTTTGCAACTGCATAAATTAGTTTGCTCTGGAGCCAACGTTCCTGAGCTAAGACAAAAATGTGTGAGATGGAGACTAAAAAACTGTCAGCTAGCACACACTAACGCAGTTTAGAGGGAACATTGCTTGTAGGTAAGTATGTTTAGGATTGCTGCCTAGTCACTATACTGCATAGAAAGGAATTGCTCATTGACAGGAAAATCCTAAATAAATACATGTTCTTTTAAGTACATTGAAGTCAACTGCATTCAAAGGGTGTAATTCTCTTTAGGGATTACACTGCAAGACACAAGACACATCCTTATGTATAGCTGAACTTTAGTTAAAATAGCAAGTTTTACCAACACTTGGCAATCCTTGTGGTGAACATCTAAAAATTAAAATTCTTATTATCACTATGAAAATAAATTATGATCTTTTTTGTTAATTCAGTGCCTAAAAGCCCAGTCCTCTGGGCTGATGTACTGGCACAGCTGTTTATTAAATGTTTTAGAAAGACAGACTTGAGCTGGATCCAGCACAGTACAGCTTTAGTCATCAACACTGGTATGTTGTTAAAATATAATTGTTCTCCATGATTTGATGCTGCACCCTACCCCTCTTCCCACACCCATATACACACGTGCTTTCTGCTACCTGCTGCTAATTCATAGACTATAGTCTATGTAATACTATAAACCAGCAAGACATACACTAGGTGCCAGTTCAGATTATAAACTTCTCAGAACAAAAAATCTGTTCCCTTATGCAGCTGTTTATTTATTAAGACATTTTATGCCACCTTTCCACCCAATCAGGGTCCACAAGGCAGTGAACATAAAAACATTAGAACATTTTACAAATTAAAAATGCATTTAAAATTATAAAATTCAGTTAAAAACACATAAACATACAATAACAGAAGGAGGAACAATTCCATTATTGGGGGTATGCCAGACAAAACAAAAAGGGCTACACCTGCTGGCGAAAGACAGGAGGCAGATGAATTTTCCTGGGGAGGGAGGGAGTTCCACAGTTTTGGTGCCATGACAAAGAAGGCACTTTCTTGGATCACCACCTATCTAGCCTCAGATTGGGGGGGGGGCAATTGAAGTAGGGCTTCCAAAGATGACCAGAGTGAGTGGGTAGGTTCATGTGGGAGAAGGCAGTCCTTAAGGTACATTGGTCCCAGGATGTACAGGGCTTTGAAGGTATAGCCCTTGAATTGTGCCCAGAAGCAAATTGGAAGCCAGTGTAGGTGGTACAAGACTACAGTGATATGGTCCCTACGACCCACTGTAGTCATTGCTTTGATCTCCATAACAATTGTGTTCTATAAGAGTTGTAGCTTCCAGACAGTCTTCAAGGGCAGCCCTGTGTAGAGTGCACTGCCGTAATCTAATCTAGATATTATCAAGATATGTACCACAGTGGCCAGATCTTTTTGTGTCCAAGAAGAGTTGCAACTGGCTCACCAGCCAAAGCTGGTAAAAGGCACCCCTGGCCAACGCTGCCGCCTGTTTATCCAACAAGAGGCCTGAGTTCAGTAGCACCCCCAAGCTGTGAACCTGCCCCTTTAGGGGGGGGGGGAGTGCAGCCCTATCCAGAACAGGGATAACCCATTTTCTGGTTTAGATCCTCCCACCACCAGTAGCACCTCCATTTTGTTGGGATTAAGTTTCAGCTTGTTTACCCTCATCCACTCCAAAACTACTTCCAGGCACCTATTCATCATTTCCACAGCCTCCCTGGGATCTGCTGGTAGTGCAAGATAGAGCTGAGTGTCATCTACATATTGGTGGCAGCTCAGCCCAAATCACCAGATGACCTCCACAGGTGCCTTACATAGACATTGAAAAGCATGGGGGACAAGATGGAACCTTGGGGAACCCCATAGACTAAAGGCTGGGGGGGCAGAGCAGCAGTCCCCCAGCACCACACTCTGAAACCTACCCTCAAACTAGGACCAAAACCACCACAGAATAGTACCTCCAAGGCCCGAACAGCAATCCTGAATGATACCAAGATCAATGGTATCAAAGGTCACGAAGAGGTCCAGGAGAATTAACAGGATCACACTCTCCCTGTCAATCTCCTGGCACATGTCATCCATCAGGGTGACCAAAGCCATTTTAGTCTCATAACCAGATCTGAAACCAGATTGGAATGAATCTAAACAATCGGCTTCATTCAGAAAAAGTTGGCCAGCCACTACTCGTTCAGTCACCTTGCTCAAGAATGGTACATTTACTCAGCTCTCCTGGATCCAGAGAAAGTTTCTTTAGGAGGGGACACATCACTGTTTCAAAGCAGGAGTAACCGCCCTGTATCTCAGGGAGGCATTTACTATCTCCCAGACCCAGTCTGCCAGTGCCCACCCCCCACCCCCGCAGATTTAAGCAGCCAGGATGGGTAAGATTGGTACAAACAGGTGGTAGGTCTCAAACCTCCATGAATCCTGTCCTCAGAGTGCACAAGCTGAAAGGTATCCCATGCAACTGGACAGAGCAGCAATCTGGGATCATCAGATCGAGTTGCTGCTAATATAGAGTCCAAACTGAAATAAATACAAGAGATTTTATCTACAAAGTTCTTAGCAAAATGATCACAGAAGAATGCAGAGCAGTCTGCCACCTCCCAGTAGTTCCCTGACCACCAGAAAGAGTTTTGCAAGTTTACACCATGCAGATGCATTGGTGGTTTTAAAATTGCTTCTATGCTACCACCACCACCATGGAGTGGGCTTTCAGATGAGCTCTAGCCTGTGCCTTGTCCAAGTTGTCCTGACTCTTTCTCCACCATCAGTCTAGCCATCTCTTCTGTTTTTTCATAGCCCACAGCCCCCTCAGTAAACCAAGGGCTGCCTGAGTTCTTTGATCTGAGAGAGGGTGCCTAGGTGCAGTTGTGTCAGTAGTCATTTCTCCATTCCAGAGGT